CGAATACGGATACATGAGGCTCTACTGTATGTGCATGTGGTGTGTTAACTAAGAGAATGAGCGACTACAATATCAAAAGCCCGAAGGATTATCTAAGCTTCACGTCTTGGGGGCGTGATTCTATTACGATGAGGTCTGCTTACGATCAGGACTAGTTTGTGGACTATTACCATTTATTACCTTTTTATCGGCCGCTTTTTTAAAAACCTTTGTTTCTTGTACAAACTCTATACGAGGTGGGCAGTGACGTAATGGGCAAATCAGCGCACTCCTCATCTGTGGGCAATCCTTTCTGGTTCCCAAGCATACCGACCACCCTAGAATGTCCAAGTCTATACGGTGGTGCTATTATACTTGGCAGGGGAATTGGACCGAACGGCCAACAGTGGTTTGAAACTAGACTAATTGTCTTTGCAGCACGTCGTGGATTTTGTGACACGTCAATCATTATGGAGTGTGCAGAAGTATGCACCATTAAGGCACGTAGACAGCAAAAATACAGAATTTTTGCGTGCATAGCACAGTTTCTAGGTCTATGTATTTGGGTTAAAGTACATCGACTAAACAAGAAACTTTGAACAGTAATCACATAATATAGAGTGTCTAGGCTTCTGCGTAGTAAACCTAAAGGCTTAACACCTTGTGTAAAAATATTTCTAATAGTATCCTTTAATTTTACTATCTTTTAGATAGAAAACCTACATTCTAGAAAATCTACGTTTAAACCGATGCATTGCCAAAGGTGATGGTGACATAGAAGTTATGGTTGAAGATTTGTAATTTTAGTGTTGACATTTTTTCCCTTTTTGCTTTCTTTCGATTCAACTTTTGTATCAGTTGTTTCTCATATTGCTTCATTTTCTTCTAACTTTTTTACTGTGTGAATTTTATCACCTGTATTATATAAATTTTATATGATTTTCTCTATGTTAACCATAATTTCATCAGGCTTACACGTCGAACATCGATGACGGTGTAAATTATCGTCGTAAAAGTTTCATATGCTTGTTTCTGATTCATTACAGGGTCATTGTGCAAGACTTGGGCGACAGAATATCGTGTCTTCGAAGCAGAGATAGAGGATTTCTAAATTAAAATTCAGAATACAAAATGGGCGAAAGACGAGGCACAAAGGCACTAGAACTCTGGTGTCGACGAATAACCGAGGGTTACCATGGTGTAAATGTGCAAAATATGACAACTTCTTGGAGAGACGGTCTCGCCTTTTGCGCAATGATTCATCATTTCCGTCCAGATCTGATGTAAGTAAAGGAATGATAAGTTAATTTCTTTTAAATCGGTATTTTCAAAGTCATTATCAACATCTGTAATACACTTGTACTATATATGTAACGTTGGAGAGTGTGAGTAGGCATTAGCGCGTTTGTTGAAGAGAGAGTTTTACTTTATGCGGAGAAGGGAACAGGATATGGAGAAAGTGGATTAGGTATGGTAGTCAAGCAGGGAAAAGGGGGAACGAAAACAGGGAACTTTGGGGTTAGAGTAACACGCAAGTGGGGTAGGAGAGGCTGAACCACTTGTCGAGAGAAACCAAACGCAGTGTGGTAAATCGAAGCAAGGTAAAATACGGAGTAGAGAAGAGGGAGATAGAGTGAGAAAATTTGGAAAAAGACATGCTAGGAAGTACTGTGGTGTGGAAGTATGAAAGAAGGGGAGTAAGGAAAAGCGGTAAAGAACAGAGATGGAGAAGCAATGTAGGAAGGAAAGAAGGAGAGAGTATTATCAGGCCAAGTAGGGAGAATTAGAAGTGGTAATATAGGCGGTAGAAAACGAATGGCGAACCTATATTCTTACAGCTGAGGGACGACTTATGCAAAGTGTTAAGTAAAAGAGAAGTAAACAAGGAACAAAAGAAGAAGCAGGGAAATTAAGAAAGTAGATGAGAGTAATGGAGTAAAATTAGAAAGGAAGATGGATTATTTATGAAAAAAGTTTTCTTCCATCGGGTTATGGTTATTGACCAGTATGTACAAGATCTTTGTGCGTGGTGGACTTAGAGACTGCAGGAAAGAAGATAATGAAAACTATTTCATTACACTAAAGAACAAGTTTTACACAATATAATCGACCAATAGTTTCTGAGATAGAAATTGATAAGCACAGTCCGTTTTCATAAAAACGGGTAAATATCGCCAAATTCAAAGCTCCCTATTTTTTAAACAAATTCGAAACCAGCTAAAGGATGACTTTGCCCCCCCCCTCATTTTTACGCGTGCTGCATTATATTTCTTGTGGATTCAGTAATCGTTTTTAATGTAGAAAGATTTGAAAGGATTTGGCTATCTGAAGAGGTATTAAGGACTAATGGCCCGGACTTTCCGTTGCATGGACAGTTTCCCACCCCTCTAGGGTGAGGTATTTATCGTAAAGGTCTTATTCCATCTTTTGTATTTTGCAGTAGACAAAGTAAGTATCTCTACGATTAATAGGAGAAACGCTTGTGATGTTACCGCTTACTGGATCCTACCAACTGCCACAAGCAGTGTTATAATTTTATACATACGAAAAGGTAAAAAATTGTAATAAACATGACAGGCGACTTCTACTGTAAAAATATAAATGCTGTCATTTGATAATTTGGCATTTTAGATGTTCTTTAATTTGTTAAAAATAGGTTTCTCTTTCGAAAAAGATATGTAACACTCTGGCTACAGTATCTAAAAAATTTTGTACAACAGAACAAAAGAAATTAAGCATAAACTGAAAATTATGTTTAGGTCGGTAACTACCCTAATAATAGGGGTAGGAGGATTAGAACTTTGTCCAAATGGTTTTCCTAGGAAGCTCTTTCAGTTGACGTATCACAAGTTTCATTTGGTTTAGGGGCACTTTTACCATGTTTATTCGGCTAGACCCTTTGTACAAAATAATAGGTTCCTATGAGAGTGGCAGGGTACTGTACACTGTGTATGGAAGTCCCAATCCGTATCCTGAAAAGGCAAAGGGAGAGAATATTAATAATTATTATTAGAAATTAAAATAATTAGTAGTAAAATGATATAGTAGCAGTTACATGCGTATGCAACGATTTATCAAAATCGATGTTCTCGAAAACAAAGGTTCATATGTAAAAGCTTTAGTTTGTAATGTTGTTTGATTTTTTTCAAAAGGAATCACCCTTTCCTTGGTCGTCCAATAATTACTGGGATATGTATCTTGGCAACTCTTGCGAAATATATAGGTTAAAAATATTATTAGAAACTTAATGAAATGTTGCGAGCAAGTTAAATTTGTGTCAAGTGTTTGTTAAATTATTACAGTTTTATTGAAATTGCCTGGTACAGAAGTTGACGGGGTAGGTGGTGATATGATCAGCGAATCAGTGGCATGATCTGCACATCCTACATTTCTGGACAATTCCTCTGGGCTCGCGAACAACTCGTTCACTCTGATAGCAAGGTGGCGGTGTACAGGTCTCAGCGAGGGAGTTAGGCACAAGGGTGAGCAGATCCAGGGCCCACTGATTATGCATACGTCGTGTTGTGCAATGTTACGCTTGCAGCCATAAAGCATTTTCTAGGTTTTATCTTTTGGCTTGAATGCTCGTGATTGTAGCGTAAACAATTTAATGAAACTTTCTAAGAAATACCTCCGAATCCTCAGTCACCCTAAAAGATGTAGTTATTTTTCGAAACATAATTCGTTGTCTATAATTTGTTGCCCTAAAGACGCGATACTTTAGAAAGAGGATGTAGAGAGAATGGATTAGGAAAGATAAAGTGTGTAGATGGAGGTGACTGAAAAGCAGAACAAATAAATCGCAAGTGCAGATGCATTCATTACTTTGAGAGTGTACTGTGCTTCGTTTTTTTATGATATTCACATTTTATGCAATAAATAATTATAGTAACATGTCGTAGCTTGCATTAGAAGATCGTGATATAAGAGAAAGTTTGGAAAGTATGCATCAGGTTTTTAAAATGGCGAGAACAATAAATTTACTGGAATATCTTTCCATTAAAAATAAAGGCCATTCAAACATTACATACATATAGTATAAACGAAACTCCTGAATACCTGGTCAGAGAGTCAAGAAAGATATCCAACAATTGTTCATCTGGCGTTGGCTCACCAGTGTTCCAGCTTTGTAGGATTGTTGCACCCTAAATGCCTTTAGTAGAAATTAGTCGCGACATAGACTCGTAGACAATTTTTCAACCCGCAGGGTAGACAAGGTTTCCCTCTGGATAGACAAGTGAGTAGTTGATTATTTATTGAATCCAGATACAAAGAAACGGCTAAAATTTATATAAGTATACAAAAATTGTTTCGTTTCTTTGGAGGCGAGTAGTAATTACACCGATGAAAGAGAGCAATTGAAGACGTGTCGAAAAGTACAAGTATATGGAAAGAAAGAAATATACAGTGTGGACCAATAACTTTGTTTACCTTAAATATTTCCGTTATGTGTAATATGACAAAATGTTGTTTACAAAACTTGTATGGCGGGGGGGATATTGTAATGCAAGTATTTTTTACGTGGGTGGAGGCGTAGAGGGGATTTCAAAGTCACCTCTACTTTTTTAAATGGGATGCTGTATTTTTTTTTATGATTGTATGATATCTGCTGTTAAGGCGATTTCAGTATCATTAAAGGTAATTCAAAGTCACTGAAGATGGCAAAGCAATTATTATTACTTTCGAGTTGTGGATTCGCGGATACGTCTTATGAGAGTTTGCAACAGTTCCGAAAATAAATGTTTCAAACTGCTATGCAGGATGTCCGATTATAAACAGAACATGCAAATTATTGGTAAACTATCCATACTATAAAAAAAGTGGTTCAGGCAAGAAGTAAATGATTTCGAGTGGAACATAATGTTAATGCTGGCGGCATGTAAAATTTGGGCATTTAAAAAATATGTTTAAATAGTATTTTGAAAACGTTCCAATACTAATTACAAGAAGGTTCAATTAAAAATATAGGTTCTTGTTTAAAAATTCGAAGTTGACTACTGCAAGGCTTGTCAGTGTCATTGCAAAGTCTAATAAATGACAGCATAGTTTGCCCCCCTTAATATCCAGTAATTTTTATTTGAAACATTTTTTCATGTGTTTCATATCTTTCAAGATATTTGCCTGGGGAGATCAAAATGGGACAGCCTGTATATCTATAATATAACAGTTATAACATTATTTTGATTCTTGTAAATGTTTCAAGACCCGAAACCGATATCATAACCGTTTTCAAACTGTGTGAACAGATAGTCTTGCCGCAATGGTTATATTTTAATAATACATTACGTACAGCTGCAAACGTAAACATTGTGGCCATTTACGACATAGCGTGGAATATTGTTAGTCAGTATCAATCGATTGCTGAGTCAAATATCACCATGATAATCGAGGTGTAAAGTTATATTTTAAAGAACAAATGGAAGTTGGTTCCTATTAGAATTTATGGTAATAAATTAAAAGATATTATTTGAATTATAAATCTTCTTTACTTTGATACGCGAGGAAGGTACGTCGCTACTCAATTAATAAAACAAAACATCGACAAGACGCTGAGAAAAAAAAAACATATCAGCGTCACCCATACTAAACATAGTTACTACGTTATTTCTATACAGGGTGTCCCGTAAAGAGTGTAACACCCGGAAATGGGGGGTTACTGGGGTAACTCTGAACAACTTTTTCCTTTACCAAAATGTTGGTTGAAGCTTCGTTTTTGAATTATTAACGAAAAACACTGGCCAATCAGAGCGCGCGTAGAGCCCGCGCTCAACCACGGGAGCGCTGACTCTCATCCGCGCGCGATCATGAACAAACGCGTACGCGTGACTTCTCGGTTATCGATTGCTGTCAAAAAAATTTGACTTTGCACCGCTACTTTTATAAGGCTTAGAGAAATGGTTTTTTGTCGTCATTCCGACGTTTGTATAAATTTTTGAAAAAACTGCAATTACTCGAAGAAAATAGCGAAGGTCGTTTTTACAACTTTTTTATCTGAGCTCGTAATGAAAATCTAAAAAATACGTTTTGTAGATCTATGTCAATTATACACACGCTGAAAATCCCATCGAAATCGGTGGATGGAGAAACAAGCGACAGGCATCGAAAGATGTAAGAATCTGCAGATTTATTACAGTTTTACGCCGAAAGTCATGATAGTGCGATTTTCACAATCTTTCACCGTTTGTAGCTCATAGTAACATTAACTACCATTTGTAACTACCACGGGCAAGATTAAACACCTCCCAATCACAGTGTCGTTTCGGCCCTGTTCCTCCCTTCATATTGACGCTGCTGAAACCTAGTCCCTCCCTTCACATTGGTGCTGTCACACGGGGCGTGCCTTCACGTAGGCCAGAGGCACTTAACTTCTTGCTCACGAGCAAATTTCCCCTTCCGAGGTTCCCCCACTATGCGACTGAGATGGTCTCGCTGGGAAGAGTCCTCCCACCACAACTCCAGCGACTACCGTTGGTTTATGTTACACATTCTGCGTGTTCGTACCGCATAGTGGGGGAACCTCGGGAGGGGAAATTGCTCGTGAGCAAGAAGTTAAGCGCCTCTGACGTAGGCTGTGCCTCCAAATTTTCCAGACACAGCTTATGCATTCGACGGACTATGTGTACAGATATTTCATGTATTTTTTTAGCAATCCGTGTTTGTAATTTATTCAAAGCGATAATGAAATTAAATGAGTTACACCATAAGTATTAATAAGTAAATGGTGTTCAAATTACGTCGTCTCATTTTAATCAGAACAATCTCATCAATATGTTAATATCTTTTTCATACAGAAAAAGTTAAAAATAAAAACAGTGGTATTTGAATCTCTCGGTTGCCTCGACCCTCATTTTATCCCTTATCTTTTATTCGTTGTCCTTATCTTCGTTCGGCAAACTACAAAGCTGGGCTGCAACCCTCGAAAACCGTGTCTCCTCTACTCAAATTGATGCTTTTCGGTTCCGACCAGAGCGACAATGTGAGAGATATTATTGTACTTCGTATGCACCGTCACGCAATATTATATGATCCGATTCGTCGATGTTATCGCGTTGGCCAATAATGACAATACGTGTGGCTTATTTCTATGATTGTGTCAGAGAAGGTGGGCTTATGGGGATATAACCCAATCAGATCCGCATTCTTTCTGCAATACTTGGCTGTGCTACCAATGAAAATTCTCCACGATTTTACAACTTTTCATAAAACGAAATGACTTAATGTTGCATTTCGTTGAATTCGTTTCAACCAACGCTACCATATTATGAATAAAAAGATACAGGGTTCCGTTTAAAAAAATTAACTTGACTTTAACATCTCCCCCACTGCTACACCTACAGAAAAATTATTTATACCACATAATGTGCCTCTTTATATCAAGCAACTTTTGTAGAAACATTTTTTTGATAGCTGCAATTCCTCCTGATATTTTCCACTGTTCTCGTTGAAACGTAACATCCCGTATGTTAACTTATCTTCACCTCCAAGTTCTCTTGTTTTTTTTTTTTTATATCCCGAAGCCAAGTACCCATTTCTTTTTCAACGTGACTGACAGACTCACTTTTTACACTTGAAAATCGTCGCCATAAGGATTCAAAACTAAAATTGCCTTGTACGTTTTCGAGTCATGTAACTGGTGTACGCGTGACGCACAGCTCTAAAATCTTTTGTAGCTTTATTAATACTTCGAATTTCAGTTTACAACTTCGCGGAGATATTTTCCAGATGTATTACTATTAATTTAAGCAAAACAAAAATAGAACTTTTTTCTCAACCGTTACACGAATCTTCCCCCTTAAGAAATTTCGATATTTCGATCATCTTTATGAACGTTTTAATGGATTGTTCATACGCTGCCTTTCAGTGTGGAATCTTGCATGCAATTATTACCACCAAAGTTATACTAATAAAATATTGTTGTATTATCATAAGTATTGAAGTCACGTTACTTCAAGATTACGTTATATCATAACATTACTTGCCGCAACAAATCAATTGTAATAACTAATAGGAACAATCTATTCGTTACGTCCTTTGCAGTAACTTCGACGATTTAGACAAGAACGACGTGTACGGGAACAATGAACTGGCGTTTAGAGTAGCAGAACAGCATCTTGGAATTCCTGCACTTTTGGATGCAGAAGACATGGCCTCTTGCTCTGTACCGGATCGATTGTCAATTCTTACCTACTTATCACAATTTTATCAGACCTTCAGTGGTAAGTTTATCGGAAGATCTACATATTGTGCACTTGTTAACAATTATTTATTTTTTATTTAAGCAAACGTATTTTTCATTTTTTTACCAAAATTATACATGTATATTTCTTTAACGTATAAAGACAACAATTTTGTATGTTAACATATATGTAGTATATGATGCCGATTGCACGTAAATAGTTCTTACAAGTGCTAATGAAGTGTTTGTTAAGAATTATTTTGAAAAAACGTTCGACATTGTGTAATAAAAATATTAAGACACTAGGAGATACTTGGATTTATTTTTTTATACTTTAATTATTTTTATATAAAATAAGTTGATTTTCCTTCTTGCAGTACGACATTTTTAATACAGCCACTCAAAATGTCATATTTATATAATAAACATACAGTAAAGCGCAAAACTGGACACACACTTGGAATTTGAACATATATATTTTATTCAACGTGTCAGTGTAGAACGTAAAGATGCGTATCAATTTTGACGGGCAAGCGTTGCATTGTTGCGTTATCAAAATGTGAGTAAGATGCGACTCGATGTGCAACAAATGGATACGCACCCTGAGAAAAGAACCAAATACGTAGTATTGCGTGCAATGCTTTGACTTTCCACGAAAAATATCAAACTCGCGTTGCTATCTTTAATTTGTTTAATAAAAATTTTCTTAGTGGAATCAGTTTTGTACCGCGACTGATTTTTAATAAACTGTTCAGTTTTTTGGAAACTTAAGGGGTCGTTCTACTTTGACGGATGAAAACTTGCGCTATTTTGAACAATTTTTGCCTAAGTAAAAACAGCATATAATGAAATAAAGTTTTTCGGTATTTATTAAACTGCTCTTACACCATACAAACAAAATTTTTAAATAATCTTTAAATGTCTTTTTCATGGTGTCAATATAGCGCCTTAGAAAATAGGTACGCTCGTGGCGCAGGCGATTATCCGAAATAAAAAATTTCAAAAGATTCTTAATGTGTAATAGTGCTGCCATCGTCCGTACCTCAGTTAATAATTTTAATTAGAGAATAACAAAGTGGCGACGATTTTAAGAAGTTTAATAAAACACCCTTTTTTCCGGTAAATTTTTTTACGTAAAGGTATGATAAAATAATCATTTTCACTTGATTTTGGTACGGACGATAAGCCATACATAGTACGTACATACAGGGTGTCCCAGGTTTTAATGGCTAAACGTTGTCGGTATAAAAAAAAATGTTATACAAACATAGGTGTTTTAGAGCTTCGTTAAAAAGTTATGGCGGTAATACGAAATGAAGGAAACAATAGCAGACTCACGGTTACTGCGATGTAATACAGTAATAGATCATCAACATTTGCGCGATATTTACAGGATCGCGTAATGAACTGATACAAAAAATCAACGATGCATTTACTGAAATGAAACAAAATAATAACGAAAGTCGCGGAGTAATAAATTCTGTTTTCTGATGTCAATCTTGCATTGCCATAAACGGTGGACATTTTTGAGATGGAGTATTAGTTGCTTCTTGCATAAACAGATTAAACGTAAATATTGCTGATCTACTTTTAACTTTTTAACGAAGCTCTAAAAGACCTATGTTTGTATAACATTTTTTTTTTTATTTCGACCCATAGAATATACCGACAACGTTTGGCCATTAAAACCTGAGACACCCTGTATATGCATTTTTAGAGCTGCTTATGACAAACTTTGACGCTACTTTTCCCGCTGATACCGAATTTTCCAAGGGATTGACACTTATTTCAGTTGTTACGAGGACAAGTCCCACAACGTCTACAATCATTATTTTTTCAAAATTCATTTAATATCTGGGTAACTTTCTTTGAAAGTGATACGGTTAATTTCGATAACACGTCTCGTGCACGTTGATTCTGCACTAGAAATACAGCACGTGATATGATAGTGTAGGAATAATAATGTCTGTCTATCTTTTCAAATGTATGTACAAGCTAAATATTTTCTTTTTTTTTTTTTTCTTCTCCACCTTTCTAGGTTCGTCTCCAACTCGACTCGCAATGAATAGAGCTACAGAAACTGTGGATGGAAGAATCACGCAAATGCCTGAATCACCGAAAGAAAAGGTACAGAAGCCTTTGTTGTATGAATCATAGAAAATTATTGGATTTTTTTTTGAATCAAGTGTGATTAGTTATTAAAGAATTCAACAATGTTGAACTATAGGTACATGAGTTTCAATTTTAGTCCTACTATAATGTAGTATAATTGATATTCGTCCTGTCAGTGCATATGTGAATACAGGGCATTTATTATGATATTATAGGTCGAGTCAATATATTGATTTCATTGATATAAGGACTCTCTTCCTAAAGAAAGGAAGACAGGATCACATCTGCAAGAATGATTCGTTTAAATCACGCATAAACATTCTCTCATCATTTGTACTTTGTTATGTAGAATATACCTGTATGTAATACATTGCAATTATAAAGTTTATTATTAATGTTAAAATAGTATAGTGAAAATGAGAAATGACGTTTGCAGTGCATGCATTTTTATACTAAAGTTTAAACTTTGTCTTATTTACTGATCGTTTTGATTTAGCAGAAAACAGTATTCCGTCATATTCCATCAGTTTCAGGTTTCTTAGAAATACGTTTATATTAGGTTGTCCGGAAAGTTCGTTCCGTAATTTCAGAAAAAATTCAAACGGACGTATCTCTATTTTTAATGGAGATAGCGACAAAAACCAAAGGGTATTTTACTCGTTATTTGAAGACGAACCCAACGCACTCCTAAAATTATTCATAAGGTGAATGAGGAAGTACACACCGGGTGGTTTTGAAAGTTCGTTCCGTAATTTCAGAAAAAATTCAAACTGTTTGTATCTCTGTTTCTAATTGAGATAGCGACAAAAACCAAAAGGTATTTCACTCGTTATTTGAAGATAAATCCGATGTACCCCTAAGATTACTCCCAAAGCGAACTATATTTTCTGCGGTGGAGCGTTGCCACGAAAAATTCAACATCCTCGCTCCAATGCAGAGAACATAGTTCGACTTATATCCGTCCCTGTTCATCTTACGAATAATTTAAGCAGTGCGTTGGATTCACCATTAACTGTCGAGGAAAATACCGTTTAACTTTTGTTACTATGTCAATTAGAAACAGAGATACGATGGTTTAAATGACGAAAGGAACTATCCGGACAACCTAATATTACTCATACCTTTGAAAGCAATATGGTGTACTTGAATTTATCATAAAACGATCTTCCATTATCGTATAAATTTCTGAAGCGTTTATAAAAGTAGCGAATTCTTTGCATACGTACGATTTATATTTCTTCAAAATAAAAATTTTGATGATATGTATTGTACGGTATGTGGTCGGTTCCAACATCTTCTCCTTAAAAATTGCATAAATATCGTTATATTATCAAAAGGAATATCGACTGGCAAAATAGAAGTATGTTAAACAGTTTACTAACAAGTACCAATAACATACCATGCAGAATAACACACATAGTATTTCTCTTGCAATAATAAAACAATTTTTGTACAGAACTTAATTACACTACTTTATTAGTTGGTAATATAACTATTTACAGCATTAAAGATTACGGAAATGTTTGTTTTGAGTACCCGCAGAGAATCCATCGTTTTGTGCATATTTATAGTTGTCGAACAGATGCAAGATGATTCTCAAACAGCAGTAAATTTCCAATGTCGATACCTTTTAAAATAAAAGAATACTGGGTCGCGTACGACATCCGAAGGTATGAGATAATATATAATAACATTTTATGGAAAAAATTTGTCAATATCCATTTGAACTTACAACTCGTCTTATATCTCTTCGACTGACTATACGTATGTACATACTATAGTGTATACCATTGGCAATGGATAGAATCCTTAATTCAATGTAAAAAGTAATACATTTTTCATTTTAAGAGAAATATTTTCGTTGCAAATTTATTTCTAAACGAGTCTGGAATTTTCCATTTCTACATGTTACAATTAATAATACTAAAGTGGAATCATGCAAAGTGACTGGAGAGACTCTTCTCTTTTACAACAAGAAAAAATATATCTTTACCTGTATTCATTCTTTCACCCATTCATTCATTTATTCGTTCGTTCGTTCATTTATTCATTAATTTATGCATCCATTCATGTACGCACGCACACACACACACACACAGCTAAACCTTCCTAATTGATGTCCTACCAAGCTCAAACTTGTAATGGCTTCATAAAATATTGTATAATTCAATTACAACCAAATGAATTTCAGATAATCATCTCTTATTTTACCTGCCGTAGTTACTAGCAGATACATACTCTTTAAAAAAAATAAAGTCATACTTATTAGTTCCGAATGTTAACGCGATTTTCCACTTTTCCTCGGATTTGTGAAGGTCGAGATGGCATTGGTATTTTGCTGCACGAATAAGTACGAAATCACATCGATTGATTATTACTTTACCGAAATATTAGTATGAATAAGTCGAATGTTGACCAGTTCGCCGTAAAGTCGAATATTTATTTAAATGGAACATAAAGTCGAATATTTCTGCCGTTCTGTCGTTGATTTTTATAATAATTCTGTAGGAGTAGGCGGTGACATGATTGACAATCATTGACATCATTGATGATTGATCAGTGTGTTTCTTCACCCTTGAACAGTCCTCTCTGGCCCACAAGTACATATACCGCTTATTAATTATACAGGGTGTCCCGTAAAGAGTATAACACCCGGAAGTGGGGGGTTGCTGGGGTGACTCTGAACAACTTTTTCCTTTGCCAAAATGTTGGTTGAAGCTTCGTTTTTGAATTATTAACGAAAAACACTGGCCAATTAGAGCGCGCGTAGAGCCCGCGCCCAGCCACGGGAGCGCTGTCTCTCATCCGCGCGCGATCGTGAACAAATGAGTACGCGCGACTTCTCGGTTATCGGTTGCTGTCAGAAAAATGTGACTACCACCTTGATCGACCTTGAGTAATTATGTGAGCAATTTCGTCTATAGTAATTGCATATTTTCGTTACAGTAATGTTCTTGTATTTGACAAAAAGTCGACTGTAGATTGTAAAAGGACCTTAAACGAGGAAAAATTGTCATTGTTGATAGGAAACAGAGCATTGAAATTTATTTTATTTCTGTATGAAATCTTTATTTTAGGAGATATTCTAAATAACTTTTATTAACTTTGAGATTTTCTACGAATACGTTGAATAAAGATGTACTTGCTATCATGGCACAAGGAATAGCAATGCGTGGACTTTCTGCTGCATGATGTCTGGTGTGTAGAAGATCTTGTTGTATGCTTAGTTTTTCACATAATTCAATAAGAAATAGTCAAGCAGTAAAATCAGGTTGGTCAATAGATTTTTGAAGCATGGCCAATATGTAGAACATCTTTGAAAAGATAAATTTTTGCATACCTATATGTGTATTCGGTATGTTAACTTTCAGAATTGGTAACAAGAAAATACACTGAAATCTACATAGAAAAATTCGTACTGGTACTCTATAAAGTGCAGTCAGTTCAGTACATATAATGTATGTGTACGTGATTTTTGTGTATAAATACTCGTATATAAATCGCATTATGTACTTAAAGAGTAAATGAAAAACTGTCACGCCAGACAGTGAACGTGTTAATAAGTAAATGTTGTTCAAATTATATCGTGCTTGATCTCATTTTCATCAGAAAAATCTCACCAACATGTTGAAAAAAAATTTCAGATGAAAGAAAGTAAAATTAAAGAAATTATATTTTTCTATTATGAATTGTCGAGCCGTGAAATCTCGTAAAAGAAACCGAGTGGTGTAGCGTTACACGCTTGACTGACAGCGAGCGAGATAACATAGGCGCAGCAAAGACGCAGACCTAGGCGCAGGACCATCTATACTGACACTTGTAGAATCCAAACTGACTGACACTTGTGGAGAATTTACTGTATTACCCATTGTTAATTGAATTCCAGAAATTTAGTTGCTTGTATTTCGAAAATTGAAACTCAACTTACGAAATAGTATAGCATTTCTTGGTTACTTCTAGAACAGAGACTTTGTACGTTTCACGGCATTTTCTGACATTAGGACATTCTCTATAATGAAATTGCCTGCGTGTCGTTACATTTTAAGAAGCCGATGTGTAAGAAACAAATTAAATTTATCAATCTTCGTCTTGCAGATGGAATTTTTTAACCATGGTACGAATGTTTTTTTTTCTTGTCTTACCACATATCTTTATTCTTCAGGAGGAAAATTGGACTTAGTGGGACAATATAAAGCTGAAATATTCCGCTAGAAGGTAATTTTGCTTTGTCGTTTATTTTGTTGCATGCCCATTTTGTTCATTACATAATTTCAAACTCCTGTATATTTCTTTGCGTGCATGTTGTTCATAAGACCTAACATTTCTCTATAGATATGATATAAAGTAATTGCTCTTTACTATAAAATATGTATACTTTATATGCAGGTAGATTTAAAAATTTGATAAGAATAGGTAGTGTTTATAAATATTAATGCTTCTGTATAGTAACGATATATTAAATTCATTTTCGCACATTGCAAGTTTAACGCAATACCTATTAAGGTTAATAAAATAAAAAGGGAAACATATGTTCACGTTATTCAACATTTAAACCCCGTTACCTGTTTTTAGAAAGAAAAAGAAAACAGCAGAATGTTCACCAATTGCACGAATAATTTCTTTATTTTATTTTATTGTTCCTTTTGCAGTAGAAATGTAGCGAGTGACACGGAAATAACTTTTGATATGAAATTTCCTACTTAAAATCAGTTTCAGCGTTTTTTTCAACTGTGCATTAATCACCAAATTTAAGATGGCAACCGTTCGCTTCGAAACGTATTTTGATGAGCGTTACATGTCCTCGACAAACAGATCTAAGATTTCTAAATATTGTCAATATAAGTAACAAGGATCAAGAATATGTTCAATAGGCGAATTATGTAGTTTTTTAAGTGAGAAATTCATTTTCTACTTTATCTTTCAACTTGTTTCTAACATTTTATTTATACTCTCTATTATTGTATTGTATTTTCGCAACTACTGGTAATCAAGTGTAGCATCAATATTATAATGCT